AAAAAAACTTAAAATGTGATAATAATAAACTTATTTATTTTGAGTTTTTTTCACTGTTCTTTTGTTTAAAAATTGATTAGGGGTTTATGAAATAAATGACAATGACTGAATATCGAGGATTGGTGAGAAGACATTTTTCGATAACTGGAGGTTGTGGTGGAAGGTGAGCCTCGATTTCTTCAATAACTGTGGGTGTGATCTTTTTCATCTCCACATTTAATGTTTTCTCGAAACATTTAGCAACTTATAAGAAAATTTTATGTAATTAATATTTGACATAGATATTTGTTTTTAATACCTACACTATTACGTACTCAACTACATCATGGCACGTGCAAATACGGTCAAAATCGAAACATGGTGACCCCTGATTACAACTTACAAGACTGTGTCGGAGATTTCTCTAAAATAAGTGAACAAGGCTTACGTGGCAACATCCTACCGCGTTAACTGTACTCACCGCACCAATTTCACCGTAGTCAATATTTCGCAAGTGAATCTCACATAACAGTGTTACCCACAGAGAACAGAACCCTGTAAAGGAAATCGCGCTGGTGTGTGCGAGTGCGAGAGAAAATAATGGAAGACGAAGTTCAGCCAATAGTGATGAAAGATTATTTTTCTGAATTACAGAAAGAAATGAATTTCGAGGTTGAGTCAATGGAAATGGAAGATGATTTTCTCGAGTTCACACTAGCTGAGGTAATATCGGTGCCTATTTTTTACAACTTTAAATCGTATTCTTCAATTAGGTCTTTCACAAGTTGGCTATTTTAATTTTGTTGAAGAATTTTACATAATTTTGGTGCCTATGAACTAATAAACTTTGAATTATCAGAAAAGCTCGTATTGCTATTGCTATTACCTGGCCTTTAATAGCCAAAGATGATCCCATAATTAAGGGATTTGTTACAAGTTATTTACACGTAAATCAAGCAATGAGAAAGGAAGGAATAACAAACTGCACAAAAATAGCTACATATTTACATAGTCAAAGAAACATACTCCTAATTAAGGATTTACTTCCTAATACTACACCTCACGTTGGAACGTGAGGATTTTGAACACCCAACTTGCCCAATAAAAACTTGAACTGGTGATGGCCGAGAGCTTTGGTCAAAATATCAGCTGGTTGGTACGATGACTGTATATATGAAGTGGAGATGTTACCCGCGACAAGTCGTTCACAGACATAGTGACAATCAACTTCAATGTGCTTTGTACGTTCGTGGAAAATCAGGTTGGAAGCAATATGTACAGTTGCTTGGTTGTCTCAGTAAATGCGTATGGGGTGACTATGGAACACTCCAAGCGACGCAAGGAAAGACTTGATCCATGTTAATTCACACGTGGTTACGACAATGTCTCGGTACTCAGCTTCAGTGGAAGAGCGAACGACTGTCGGTTGCTTCTTAGTTTTCCATGAGATGGGTGAAGACCTAAGATTAATGAAATACGCTGTGAGGGAGTGACGAGTTACGGGATAGGTGGCCCAATCAAAGTCACAAAAGGCATAAAGCTGGAGAGAGCTATCAGACCGTAATAAAATACCCTGGCCNCTAGTTGGTGCGATGACTGTATATATGAAGTGGAGATGTTACCCGCGACGAGTTGTTCACGGACATAGTGACAATCAACTTCAATGTGCTTTGTACGTTCGTGGAAAATCGGGTTGGAAGCAATGTGTAAGGCTGCTTGGTTGTCACAGTAGATGCGCATGGGGTGACTATGGAACACTCCAAGCGACGCAAGGAAAGACTTGATCCATGTTAATTCACACGTGGTTACGGCAATGGCTCGGTACTCAGCTTCAGCGGAAGAGCGAGCGACTGTCGGTTGCTTCTTGGTTTTCCATGAGATGGGTGAAGACCCAAGATTAATGAAATACGCTGTGAGGGAGCGACGAGTTAGGGGACAGGCGGCCCAATTAGAGTCACAAAAGGCGTAAATCTGGAGAGAGTTATCAGACCGTAATAAAATACCCTGGCTCGGAGACCCTTTCAAATAGTGAAGAACACGGTGTACCGAATTCATATGCTCTTGCCGAGGCTCGTGCAAAAACTGAGTCAAGATGTGAACAGCATAACATATATCCAGGCGAGTAATAGAGAGATGAACAAAACGACCCACAAGACGGCGATAACGTCCTGGATCATGAAGGAGACGGCCTGAAGCACAAGCAAGATCGTGATTTTGTTCCATAGGAGTGACGGCTGGCTTAGCACCCGAGAGACCCGCTTCTTTAAGTATATCAAGAGTGTACTTTCGTTGGCACAAGAATAGACCAGAATCGTTACGAGTTGCTTCAATGCCAAGAAAGTATTTCAAGGTCCCCAGATCTTTAAGCTGAAAACAGTCATTAAGGTAACTCTTGAAAGAGATATAGGCTTGAGAATTATTTCCTGCCACAATCAAATCATCAACATACACAAGAACATATAGGAAAATATCATCTTTGCGGTAAGTAAAGAGAGTGTGGTCAGCATGTGACTGAATAAAATCGTAGCACCGGAGAGCTGCAGTCAGTTTGGCAAACCAATTGCGAGGTGACTGTCGGAGACCATATAAAGACTTTTGAAGCTGGCAAATTTTATTGGGATCGCATATAGACCTCCTCGTGGAGATCACCATGGAGGAAAGCATTATTGACATCAAGTTGATGTAATTCCCAGCCTTTAATGACAGCGATAGCAAGAAATAGTCTTAACACTGACCAACTTTGCAACATGGGCAAATGTCTCATCAAAGTCAAGTCCTTTGACCTGAGTATCACCACGTACCACAAGTCGAGCTTTATTCCTCTCGATAGTGCCATCGGACTTGTATTTGAGCTTGTAAACCCATTTGCAACCAATGGGCTTTTTGCCAGGAGGAAGATCCGTAATAGTCCAGGTACCATTAAGCTCAAGGGCGTCGATCTCAGTTTTCATAGCTTGTCTCCAATGAGGATCATGCATAGCTTCATTAAAAGAACGGGGTTCAACCCCAGCAGTGATAGCACCCAAAATTTTCGAATGTGATGAAGAGAAATTTTGACAAGTGACATAATTAGCTAAAGGGAACCTCATACCTGAGGACCCGGTGGAGTGGCGAGAAGGAGGATGTACCTGGACCGTGTGACAAACATAATCATGGAGATGACTAGGCGGCTTACGAACCCGATGGCCACGACCAAGGCACGGCGCTGGATTATCAGATGTTGTCATAAGGGAGTCGCGATGCACGACGACAGTGTCAGATAATGGCACAGGAGATGGTGCCGTGGCAGGCGACATGGGTGTCTCAGCAACAGTAAAAGACCGAGTGTGGGGCGGTGTCATGAGGGCTCCCCCTGACTTGTGAGATGGTGCAACATTATCAGAAGTAAGGGATTCCCACGACCAATCAGCTCCAATAATAGTGGTGGAAGGTGTAGAGCTTGATTGGGAATGAGGAGTAGCAAAAGGGAATGTGTTTTCATCAAATTTCACATCTCAGCTAACAAACATCTTTTTAGACTCCAAATCCATAACCTTCCAACCTTTCTTTCCGTGAGAATAACCCAAGAACACACAATGACCACTACGGGGGGAGAATTTATCCTTGGAGCGGTCTTTGTAGTGAGCATAACATAAACAACCAAAGACCTGAAGGTGTGTAAAATTAGGTGGTGTAGAGAATAATTTTTCATGTGGAGTAAGGCCGTTCAAAAGAGGTGTGGGGGTACGGTTTATTAAATGTGCGGCAGTAAGAACACTCTCCCCCCAAAATTCAATAGGCAAGTAAGCTTGAAACAATAAAGCCCAGGCAACTTCTAGAATATGACGGTGTTTCCTTTCGACACGACCATTTTGTTGTGGTGTATCAACGATGCTGGTTTGGTGAATAATCCCATGTTGACCATAAAAGGAAGTCATAGAAGTGGAAGTAAATTTCAAACCATTATCACTACGAATCATTTTGACAGATTTTGCAAATTGTGTGGTGACCATAGCACAAAATTGTTCAACAATAAACTAGCTTCACGTTTATCATGCATCAAATAGACCCAAACATCACGACTAAAATCATCGACAATAGTAAGAATATAAGTTGCACAAGAAATAGTAGACTTGCGATATGGACCCCAAATATCACAATGAATTAAATCAAACTTGTCTTTAGCACAATTGGTACTAATAGGAAAGCGAGATCGAGTTTGTTTGGCTCGACAACAGATATCACAAATGGAAAGATGGTCAGGAACAACAATCTTATGGCCATCAACATATAAATATGACATGGGTTTAGAAGACGGATGACCCAACCGGCGATGCCATGTCTCATAGGACTCATGTACTCGAGCTACGGAGGCGGCCGCTACCATCACCGGCCGATAGTGGTACACCCCACCTTGTGACTCACCCAGTCCAATCGGGCTCCTCGTGGTGCGGTCCTGCAAAATACACAATTGATCAGTGAATGTCACAAGACAATTGGCATCACAAATTAATTTATTGACAAATCAAATTGACAACAAGATTTGGCTGGCACAAATAGCACATGATGGAGAGTGAGCTCAGATTGTAAAACACAAGAACCCTCTTTTACTGCAGAAGTTTTCTCACCATCGGGAAGCCCAATAGGAGAAGGTAAAATATCTCAGAACATTTGACAAAAGTGAAATATGACCCGTCATATGATGGGATGTACCGCTATCAATAAGCCAAGAAACATCATGAATATTCTTACCAGACATTTTATCATTTTCAGGACTTGACTCAATTAGAGCCAAGAGACGATGAACTTGGTCGGCTGAAAGCCCCAGAATGCCCGCGGTGGGAGCTGAAGATGGGGCTAAAGATGGTGCACCAGCAGGCTGGCCCACTGGGCTGCTGCAACGAAGGCAGGCGCACGTGACTGAGAGGAATGTCGCCCCCTGCCACGTCCTCGTCCCCGGTTGGATGCCGGAGAAATACCCAGCCTGGTCCAGCACTTGTCGAAGTCGTGCCCTTGGCGCTCACAAAAGGTGCAATAAGGCCGACTACTATGGACAGTAGGTGAAGCTGAGGCTTTTGACTGGACTGCAAAATCGACAGCAGGGCTATTATCCCTCGGTTGAAGGGCGGAGCGATGACTTTCTTCTTGGCTCACCTTAGCATAAACCCGGTCAAGATCAGGAAGAGGCTCAATATTAATAATTTGGGTACGCAAAGCACTATAGGATTCATCTAACCCCATGAGAAATTGATAGGTTTTGAGATTATTAAACCATGTAGCAATAGATGACCCATTTTCACAAGTACAAGTCTCTAGAGATATATTACTAAGGTCTTCCCATATACCCAGAAATTGTGTATAATATGACATGACCGAGGTACCTGCTTGTTTAGTCAAAGTAAGATCAGACCAAACTTTATAAACTTTGGGGCCATTCTTAATAGAATAACGAGTTTTGAGACACTCCCATAATATTTTAACAGTACTAAGTCGAGACACAGTGGCTCTAATAGATTCATCTAGAGAATTGGCAATCCAGGAACATAACATAGAGTTAACTATTTCCCAAGCAGCAAAATTTGAATCAGATTTGTCAGGTTTAGCAATAGAACCATCAATGAAACCTAATTTATTTTGAGATCGCAAAGCCAAAGTAATAGCTTGTTCCCAAGTAGAATAATTTTCTCCTTTCAATTTAATTCGAGTCAAAACAGAACCTGGATTAGACGATGGATGAAGGAAGTATGGCGAGGTGGGATCAGTGAATGGAGATGGCTAACGTCCGTCTGACTTTTCACCGTCTTTGGCCATAGCGTGTTGTGGACACTAACAATAGGGAACAAATACTGAAGGACAAATGATGACTGAAATCACCGTGAGAAATTGAGCGGTGGAAAATGAGCTCTTTGTTTCGCTTTTTTTTTTTGTGTGTTTTCTTAAGAACACCAATGCTCTGATATCATAATAAACTTTGAATTATCAGAAAAGCTTGTATTGCTATTGCTCTTACCTGGCCTTTAATAGCCAAAGATGATCCCATAATTAAGGGATTTGTTACAAGTTATTTACACGTAAATCAAGCAATGAGAAAGGAAGGAATAACAAACTGCACAAAAATAGCTACATATTTACATAGTCAAAGAAACATTCTCCTAATGAAGGATTTACTTCCTAATATGAACTGAAGTGTTTTTTTCTTAAATCTTTTTTTCCTTTTTAATTAATTGTGATGCTAATGCAAATTATTCTCTGCTTGTTCTAAATGGAGCATCAATCTCGATCACGGCTCTGATTTGCTCAACTTATTTTTTGTGCTACATGACAACGGTCACAAATTTTATTATTATTATTTTATTTTATTTTATTTATTTATTTATTTTTCAAAAAAAAGGCCTTCGGAATAGGATATTTTCTGTAATTTATGCATGGGCAGTTGGGCATTCGACTTGATATTTGTATAGAAGTATGCTTAGTGAGCGCGTCTTGGTGTAAACTTTAGAATGTGGTGGTTTTCGCTTTCCATGATGTGATCTTTATGGATTTGTTGTTAGCCTCTTACTATTAATCCAAGAAAATCGTGAATGAAGCAATAGTTTGAGTAGAATTGTGCCACAAGTGTTATAATCAGTTCTTAAGAGTTTCTATGGTAAGTCCTGGGGGGTAAGAAAAATGGAAGCATTTCGTGCTTAATCGGGGGGCGGGGGGGACTTTAAAAAATTTTAGACATGAGTTTTATTATTTTCAAAATAAAAAGCATTTTCTTTCCTGGCAGTTAAGGGCTTTGTTACTGCTAATACATGAGGATTGCATGGTATAGAATACCGCTTTACAGTTCATGCATATGTGATGCACTCGAAGAATACATTATTGACAAATATTAGACATGAGTTGTATTATTTTCAAAATAATAATTCAATGCAACATATAGAGGAGAAAACATTTTTTTAACAGTAGTTAAAGAGCTCAATTGCTGTGAATTTCTGAGGACTGCATTGTATAGAGTAGCATACCCTGCTTCAAAATTCATACATACTTGATGCACTTGTAGAAAACATTACTGACATCTACTGAGCACCGTGAAACAAGTTAAGAGTCTTGTGACAAATCAAAGGCAGTACAGAACCTTCAGTTTCTGTTGCTCGGTGTGATTCTCCTACCTGAGTTAATGTTGCTTTATAAATCAATGAAAATATCAATCTAAACTTCTGTTGGGGTCTTACAGTTCTCCACTTTCCATGAATTACACTGTTGCGGAGAATGATAATTATCTTGGCTACTTTTTAAAAATGATCACCCTTTTATGTAGTTATCAGCCATCCAATTTCCTTCTCTAGGAGTTGCTACGGTATCTGAGTATTAATCATGCAGAATCTGGTTCCTAGCTTTGCCAATTTCCTACTCTAGGAGTTGCTACAGTATCTGAGTACTGATCGTGCAGAATCTGGTTCCTAGCTTTGTATTTGAAAGGGCAAAGAAGAGTACAGGATATATGCATAACAATGCTAACCCACACATATTTTTTCTGCTCACATGAATCTCGTCATACACTTCTACATCCTATCAAATATGTCTAATCTTCTCAAGTATGTCAAACAAATATGAAATGATTCAAAGTACTGAAGACGAACTCTTCTGATCTGGAAAATGCAGCAAGTACACTGCACACCCACCTGTACTGGGAACTAAATATTGAATCAGTGAAATTAAATTCTGAACCTCACGTGTGAGTGTCCTTCCTTCAGGGAAAATCCTGCTGTCCTTTAGGATAAGAGAGCTAACACAACGGGAAAAATACAATGAATTTTATTGCAAATTTTACAATTTTGAAATTAACCTGCATTTCTTTTCCTTGTATTCTTTAATGGAAACGTTTACGATATTTTGCTGGAAACTTGTCATTGAACCACTACTGAGATTGCTTCAGGTACATATGGAGGAATCATTTATTTATAGGTTAACATGAGATCATATTGACATTTGCTTTCTGAGAGAACTTGGTTGATATAGTGTTGTAGTCATGGTACATGTCGGTTCAGCTCTCACTTATTTCAATAGTTTGAAAAAGTTAAGAGGCTGTTCTTTTTGTGTTTCAGTTTTGTGCTTTGAGTTTTGAATTCATTTTGGGTTTTGTGTTTTGAGTGTTCATTTTGAAATTGTTGAAAATCTGTTCTTTTTGGCATTTTGAAAAATTGTTTTGAAAACACCCAAAAACGCGTTTTGAAAATTTTGGCTGGTATTTTCAAAACAATTCTTTGTAAATTTTTAACTTGTTTTCAAAAACGCGTTTTCGAAAATAGGAAAGAGAACCCTTATGTCTGTTTTCTTTACTATTTTCAAGCCGTTTTCTGTTTTTGATTTTCCAAAACAGTGAAAACGCGTTCTCTTTCCTATTTTCGAAAACGCGTTTTTGGTGTTTTCAGTTATAATCAAGCCAAAATTTTCAAAACGCGTTTTGAGTGTTTTCAAAATAAATTTTTAAAATGTCAAAAAGAACACATTTTCAACAATGTCAGAGTGAACACTCAAAACACAAAACCCAAAATAAATTTAAAACACGAAACACAAAATTGAAACACGAAGAGAACGGCCTCTAAATTTTCTTGGATTTCCTTTCTATTTCCAAATTCGAACTTTTTAGAAATTAATTTCTCTTAGACAGTAAGGGGTTGTTCTCTTTGTGTTTCAGTTTGTGTTTTGAATTCATTTTGGGTTTTGTGTTTTGAGTGTTCATTTTAAGATTGTTGAAAATATTTTCTTTTTGACATTTTGAAAATACAAAAAAACGCGTTTTGAAAATTTTGGCTTGATTATAACTGAAAACAATCAAAACGACAATTTGAGTTTTCATTGTAACTTTTTAACTTGTTTTCAAAAACGCATTTTCGAAAATAGGAAAGAGAACGCGTTTTCACCGTTTTGGAAAATCGAAAACAGAAAACGGCTTGAAAATAGTAAAGAGAACAGACCTAATATTTCCAAAACAACAAAACCAGAGATACAGGTATAACAACAATGACTAAATGGGTGCTAATCATGTTCTTTGTGTACCGAGGTTTCATTGTGACTTTGCACTTTCTTAAACAGATCGTGGCAATGGAGAAAAAATTTAAAGAATCAAAAGAGAAAGCAATCAGTCAGGTTATTTGTCAAGAGCTTGCAACTAAGTTTAGGTATGTTCTTTCCTTAGCTATATCTTATTACGGCACTGATTGAGATTAACCGAGTACTTCAGACAGTATTTCAGTTTGTGCTCTTCCCTTTATATTCATCTTATGCTTCTGAATTTATTCAATGTCTGTATTGTTTGAGCAGTTGCTCACCTCACCGATCTGAAAAATCTTCTGTAAAATGGGAACAGGTGCTGCTTCTAAATTTTTTGTATTTTGTTTTCTTGGTTATGTTAATGGTTGAATTCTTTTGAAAAAATTTATTACTTTATTTACCTCTCTTATGTCGTAGGTGCAAGAATGGTTCCAAGATAAAGAGAAAAGTCTTGCAGCTAAAGTAACTTCATCTTCTTCTTGTAAAGCAATTGTTGCTTATACAAATCCTGCACCAAGGAGGAAAAAACCTAAAGGTTTTTAATGTCTTCTTTGATAAAATATGATTTAAGGAAAAAAAAAAATGGTAAATTAGAGCTCATGGTAGCTCAAAGTTCATGACTTTCATACATGGTTGTTTTCAAGGTGATTACTCTAAGTGAATTCTCGTCATAATTGTCCCAATAATTACTGGTTGCATGCATATCTAGTGTCCTAAAGGTTATACATTAGCTATATGGTGGTTTCACCCATTTCATAATACGATGCACATGGTCACTGGTATGAGTAAGTGGTCTAATAAAGTTGGTATAAAATTAATAAATAATTTGATGCCAAATATGGGGAAAAAAGGAAACACCTAAAGAAAGAAGATGGTTGACATTATGATGTTCTTATGCTTCTTTGACATTTTCAACGTAGGAGACTATGCCTGAAGAGAAAAGAACACTTCTCATTTGCAACTAGCTTGTTTATATATATATATATATATATATATATATATATATATATATATAAATTTTCAATATTTAAAAAGGCTGTTATTTGGATCTTTTATGTGAGCCTTTTACTTATCATTCTGAAGTAGTTTCCAAAATATTGTGTCAATATTTGTTCAGAATGCATGATATTGTGTTTGGATAAGACCAACCCAGCTTTTATCCGAAATATTTAGAGCTGAATGTTAAACTGGCTTTTGATATGAAATTGCATTTAATCAATATTTGGGTTCATTCTTTATATTAATTACTTTTAGCTGGCTTTTTCTTATTATATGATTTAGGAAGTTAATTTATTCTTAGGTAGCATGTTACACTGTCATCAGACATGTTTTACGAAGCTAATTTTTCTGACTTCACATATTTATTTAATTTTCTTTTTGAATAAGCAAACCTGTTTGACTGTCTTTTAGTGTGTGTGAGATTATTTTCTTTTAAGGAGTAAACAATTCATTTGCCACTTCAAATGCAATTCAGTGGTAAGTGTTTCAACAACGTGCAAACTCAAATCATTTTCATGTGTACTCGATAATGATTTAGCAATTTATCATTTCCTGTAAACGTCCTTTGTCTCTATATCTCCTTTTACCAATTTTTTTGGGTGCTTTTATTAATTAGAAGTCTTGTATCCATCTGAACTTTTATAGCCTTGTTTGGCTTCCATTCACAAGAATTAAACATACAAATAACTCATTCAAGAGATGCTTCTATATTTTACTTGGGGCTGACGTCAACTTTGCAAATTAGTTCCAGTATCGACAATTTCTGCTGATGAAGCGGCTGTGGCACTTTCAAACTTGATTTTTGAAGCTAAATCAGCAAAAGACTATGCTTGGTGAGCACTTAAAAGTACTTTTCAGTTGTTTCCTATTGTTTTGATGGTGATCTTCCTTTAGCATACCTGCAAACCAACGAGGATTCAATTTGAAGAGAACAATTCCCTTGACATTTTAAACTAGATTTCAATTGGATCTTGGACTCAATTATGTTACGGCATTCGTAACCAGAAGTTTATTGTTTATTATATACACACATCATTCAAGATGATAATTTTTGCCTTCGTTTTTTCCCTTTCCCCCCTGATATAGCAAGCATGTGAATAAATTTTGGCAAAACAGTGTTAGTTACCCATTTAATCTGGAATATTACTGATTTGACTGCTTATACAATTCAACATAATATTCAGTAACACTTGAACATTCTCCTGAAAACTTATCACATTGACGGGGTGAAGTTAACAAAGTTCCATGAAAATTTTTGTGAATGCAGTAGATTTATGTACAGCTGCCTTGTCTCACATCATGGTAATTTCATATACGGTTTGTCCTAAATATTGATCCTTTGTTGTTGGGTTTGTGGTTTTGTTTCTGGTGAGACAAACATCTTCGACACCAATTTAGTTCTCTCTCAAACAATGACATTCTAATTAAAGATTAAAAGAATAAATATTTGAAATCTACAACATAAAATGCTAAATCTATCTTACTTTGTTAGTAGTTTACATTATTTAGAAACATCCTGAGAGACAGCTTCTTTTTATGGTTTCTAGGTTTGATGTTGGTTCTTTCCTCAACTACAAAGTCCTCAGTTCAGGGGAAGTGGTAAGATTCTACACTTCATTGCTTGTTGGTCTTCCTACATAACTGCAACCCCTCCCTCAACACACAAAACCACTCTTAGAAGACTTTGCGCGTTTTATTTTCCAATCTTCAGTAATTTTTATATTTTGGGTTTCTTGCCATGTAGCTAAATCAGTTCAATCTTATGATGATGATTACTTTTCCACATTAATTCAATATTTGTAATCAGTAGCTAGATTTGAGTTTCTACTTTTTCTTAAAAACAAAAAACTAGTGTTAGGCTTCTGCAGCCAGTTCTTTCTGGACTTTTGACTACATGACAAATCTGAATGCATTTTCCAAGAAGTTGAGAACCTACTATTGTGCCTTAGCGAGCTTCAGTTAATGTCTGTGTACGTGCTAGTGAAAACAGAGATTTTTGGTGATATTAATCCAGAAAATCGAGTATGAATATCTTAAAGATAATCAGGTTTGCAGTTGAATTTATATGGAAAAAGAATTGATTCCTCAAGAGTCCCAGAACTTGGATTTAATGGGATTGGTATTATAACACTAGTCACTTCATAGAAAGGAACTTAGCAGTCAATTAAATTGATTTCAGTGTTCATAATTTAATATGTACAAAACATTCATTAGAATTATAAAAGAGAAGTAAAATAAAACTACTGGCAGCTCACAACGCTTTCATTGTCTCCTGCGAGAGTTTGACACTGAGGTGGTGAGTGGTGGTTTTTAGGTGGTTGGTGGCGATGGTCGGAGATGACAGGGGGTAGATCAGTTGGCAATGCGGATAGGTAGTGGTGTATGATCTCAATGCATGACTATATCTGACATTGCATGGGTTTCATGTGCAGGTTGTAGATTGTGAGAAATTGGATTGATTTGATTGATAACTGGTATTGGTTGTTCATGGGGTTATAGGAATGAGGTGCGTTGACTGCTATAATCACCAAGAAGCCGTTATTTCTTAATCACATCACAAGAATATACACTATCCTATAAGCCCAGGATTTCGTGAGAATCAAGTTCTCAAGTGACAGTGTAGAGAATGTTAGATCTAGGAGACATGTTAACAAAGCTGTAATTTCAACAAGTAAAAAAAAAAACACAACTCAGGAGGAATATCATTCACACAATAACCTAGAAACTATACAAGTTTTACCAAAAAAATTATTAAGTAGTCATTAACTCAACAAAAAGTTTGAATACAAGTCACAAACAGAAAAGATAAATCAAAGAATCATCAATCAACAAAATAGTTTGCTATCAGCAAGATATTTATCAAGAGATAATAATCTCCCCACACACGTTATCATTGAGCAACACTTATTAAGGGTGTGTTTGAGCCACATTATTTTAGAAGAATATATTTTGAAATAGTAGATTGATGGAGAATGTGTGGTTGAAAAAGAAGAAAAAGTTATCAATGTGATGAAAAATATTATTTTATTGAAAAATGTGTGATTGAAAATGAGTAGAAGAATAAAAATGAAAATTTTAATGTGGCTCAAACAGAGGCTAAAAGAGTTAACCCTCCAAATGCTCTTTATATATTGGGCCTGATCAGCGGGTAATTTTGGTGTGAAATATTTGGGCCTTTTAATTTAGGAAAATTAGGCCTACTATCCTTAAAAAAATAAGATATTAAATTAATACTTTTAAAACTGATTAGAAGTATAAAGTTTAGTATTTATTACGGCCAAATTGATTTGTCACTTTTTTGAATTTCTTGTCACTTTTCGTTTAATAGTCTTTTTTTCTCATTTTATAGGATTTGAAGTTAATCATACCACAAAAATATTGGTTTAAATAGACATGATGTGTCATTTTTCTATGAAAAGTGATATACCTTGGCTCAGGAGAACTGTTTTGCTTTTATGCATTAAATCTACTGATCTGAAAACCAAACAACTGGTTTATCATCATTGTGCAATAGGTAAGCCCTCCCTTGTATAATTGCATTCCTGGAAGGAAGAAGATAAAACGGAAAATAATGAAGCATGAACAAATTCACATTATTCTAGTGCATGCAATGCTAGCATGCACATCCACATAGACGCTGCCATGAGTCATCCTACTGCCCACCAGTCCCCAGACTGATATTAGAACCTATTGGACTGGGATACAAATGGTCTATTAGAACAAAGATTTACCTTAATAATTCATTGAACTATGCAAGTATTGAACTTGTTGAAGTTCATTATCTATAGAGGGACTTCACTTAATAATTTGTTTACAAATTTTTGTTTTAATATGGCAGGCAGTTCGCGTGAGATTTGCTGGCTTCAATAAAGATGAAGATGAATGGATTAATGTAAAAGAGGCAGTACGTGAACGCTCAATTCCTTTACAAGTATCGGAATGTCACAAAGTCAATGTTGGAGATCTTGTACTCTGCTTCAGGGTATGTTTCCAATCACATTTTACCTCTTAATCTTCTTGTAGTATTCTGTCTTGAGGAATTAAAAGCTGCATGATTCTTCATCTTTCCGAGACTTTTTGAATATTAAATTATTAATAAAATACAAATATAGGACCAATCTTCATGTAGGTTTTTCTTTTTGATAACATTCTGTTTGTCTTTCCAGGAAGACGAGGATTATGCACTTTATTGTGATGCACATATTGTGGATATCCAACGGAAATTACATGATATCGAAGGCTGCAGGTGCATCTTTGTGGTCAGATATGTCACAGATGACTTTGAGGTCAGTAGCCTTTCTCTAAACGCATGTTATCTCGCTTTTGGAATTATCTTCAAATTCATCTAGCTAAATTAGAGAGCTTGGAACTGGGAAAATGAAATTGATATCAGAGATGATAGCAAAATCGTCCTTTTCCAAGAATTCTAATTCCATAGTACCTATTTTATGCTGTTCCTTGGGTATATTTGACATGGTTAAAAATCGAATTTCTGATGGTCTTCTTTGTGATACCAGGACAAAGTTTTGCTTAACAAATTATGTTGCAGACCAACATCTTCAGCCTCCATTCCCGCTATCGACTTGGAGCCTGGTGTGATGGGCGAATGAAAAGTAAAAAGTATTTGTACCAAGTGGTCAAACTAGCATGCCATCTAAATTTGGGTATCTGAGTCACAATTAGAAAACACATTATTATCGGATTATGCAATCTGTGTAATTTCTGCTGGTGTTCCTTTATCTTTTATTAGTTCTCGATATTGTCATTTAATGCATTCCATGGGTACAACCGTACAGTTTGTGCAGTCTTGCAGACTCCTTACCACCCTCTTTGCTTTCTGGACGCTGATTTGCATAGAAATTCTGGAGCTGGTACAAGGGATGTTGTTTACCATATTCTGATTTCAAAGGTTTTAATTATCGGAAATCAATGTCACGTTCAACTATCTGAAAAAACCAAATTGAAGTGGAAGATCATAACGTGCTTCTCACTCTCTACCCCGAGTTTCCTTTCAATTTCAGTCAAAATCCTTTCACAGGCCAAGTATTAAAAGTAGTGCAAACCAGACAAAGCATTTTTTCTGTCTTCCCAGACCCTGCTTAAATTGGACATGCCGTAATATATAGACGGTTCCTACTTTGGTTCTATTTGGAAGGATCGACTTCTCCCATGTGCTAATGTTAAAAGACCATCTTGCTATTCGGGCGATATAAAGCTGAGGACCAATGGCCCCAAAACATGACCTACAGGTTTTCATCCACAATGCGACAAACTTGCAATGACATTGTGATGTGGTACATAATCATGATTAATAGTTTCCTATTATAATTGTGATTTATCTTTTTTAGTTCTAATAGATTTTATCTTTGTATTCTTATTTCTTGTTTAGAATAGAATTTCTTTTATTTATTGATTAGAATATGATTTTTAATTAGATTATGATTTTAGTTTATTTCCTTTTAAAATTTAGTTTTCTTATATTAATAGGATTAAAGAATAGTTTTGTCTATAAATACAAAGACATTATACACTTTTCAACAACAATAAATTATTATTCAATATATACAAGACATGATTATTCAAATATCATTTTTATTTATTACATAAATTCTTATTATAAGAATTTCATAACGTTTCCGCACCAAAATTGGTATCAGAGCAAGGAATTAACCTCAATCTGATGGCCGACGATGGTCCTGGTGACAGTCGAACCGTCGACGACGAACAGAGACTCGACAAACTCGAACGAATCGAGAAGATCAATGAAACCCTACATAACATCACGTAGATAGTGACTGTGTTGAGTCTTCAAAGGAATCGCGAATCCATGGAGAAGCAAGTTAACAAGAATTTGCGGACTTTAACTTCTATGAATGTTGGTTGCTTCAACAAGATTAAAATGCTGCAACAGGTGGTTAGAGAGTTTCCTCAAGTCCCAACTAAATTTGAATACACACAAGTTATCAAGGATTCTACGAAAGTCTATCGAGAAAATATAAAAGAATCCAATTTGAAGCGCAACAAAATTTTTAAAACACAATGCACCATCAACAAAGTATGCACAGTGATAGTAAATCATAAAAGTAGTCAGAACTTGGTATCCAAAGCATTGGTGAAAATTTTAAATTTGAAAACTGAAAAATACTTATCTTGCTATCAAGATTCACAAGGGCAAAAAACTCAAAATATGGAGGTATGTAAAATTTCACTTTCTCTTGGAAAGAACTACAAAGATGAGATTATATGCAACGTGGTAGAGATTGACGATTGTCATGTAATTTGGGGACAACCATGGTACTATGGTGTAAATGCTACTTACGTAGGTCGAGATAATAGATATGTGTTTAGGTGGTACGATAAAAAGATTGTCTTGGTGTCATGTGATGAGCAATTTATGAATGACAAAGAGAAAAATGCTTATAAGGCAGATAATGAGGATGAAAAAGAAGTAATTCAAGATAATCAAGATGTTATTAACCATGTTACTAAAACAGAAAAAGAAAAGTATGTGCAAGTTGAAAATACAAGACCCGTTGATTCCTTGTATATGGAAACTACAATTGAAAACTTCAAAATCGAGGCGCACGCCAGGGATGAACAAGTTGAATATCAGAAGTGAACAAGAGAGGAAGAAATTGAATTTTGCAATCACAAAGGAGTCAAATGTGAAGATATCAAATTGAGAATAAAAGTTTTATTGACCTTTTCTATAGCTTGTGTCAAAGAATTGCATAAAAATAAGGAAAACATGAACAGTGAGGATTTGAATCCGCGTACCAATTCTTTTGTGTTAAAGAAAGCATCACTAAACATTACAACAAAAGTTGAGAAGTATGAAGAATTGAAAATAAAACAAGTGGCCTCTATTGAGAGCGAACTCAATGAAGAGAAATTAAATCATGCTTCGTTTATGAAGGAATGCCATTTGCAAATTATCCGTGAAGAAAATATAACAAGTATGATAGGAACAAAGTTGATTTTGAATAATGCAACTGAAGAATATAATAACGTTTATCGAGCACATCAAGAAATTGTCATTTTTTCAATATCGGTATTTGCAGAAGTTTTTGGGCATTTTCCTCCGAATTGATTGATTTTTTCTTCAAGAAAACTGGAGGACGAGTTTTATTCAAGTGGAGAGGATTGACATAGTACATAATCATGATTAATAGTTTCCTACTACAATTATGATTTATCTTTTTTAATTCTAATAGGTTTTATCTTTTAATTCTTATTTCTTGTTTAGAATATGATTTCTTTTATTTATTAATTAGAATAACATTTTTAATTAGATTATGAATTTAGTTTATTTTCTTTTAGAATTTAGTTTCCTTATATTAATAAGATTAAAGAGTAGTTTTGCCTATAAGTACAAAAACATTGTACACTTTTCAACAATAATAAATTATTATTCAATATATACAAAACATGATTGTTCAAATATCATTTTTATTTATTACATAATTCTTATTATAAGGATTTCATAACGCTTCCCCACCACATTAATGAAAAAGCATTCGCATGAAATGCAAATGTTGCGAGTAGTGAGATAAACTGAGACTGCATATAAAGCATAAAACTGAATTCTAAAGTATCAAAGTTCCATCCCGTGCTTGGCAATGTAAACATGACAATAGAAGATCCGGACTTAAAGCCCCTACAGAGACTTATTATTGGACTATACACATTTGCGGTAAAGAAGTAAAAAACTCCTACCATCCTCAAATTTGCATGCAAATGAGCCTTGGGTAAAACCAAAATACACAACAGATAATCAGGCTCGAGCATTAACTTCTCTTCTGTAACTACAACTAAAAAACTCTTAAAACATTGATGCCTCTACAGAAACCCAGGTTCTTTCTTCCAGCTGGATTGACCAGTAAGTCTTGATCTTAGAAATTATGGAAGGTCAATGTAAAAATGTAGCATCTCTATGAAACTGTACGGCCATAACAAACAGATGCAATATACAGATTTTTCCCCCATTTCTCCTGCAATTCAAGAAAAAGAAAAAAAAATGTTTTTTAATCTGCATAGATTACCAAGCAAATAATATAATAGAGACCACAAAAGAAAGCCGACTCGTTTATGATAGATCTACCTTGACATGCGTACTGGGAAAGGCAGAAGTCCGAAGTGTCTCTTGTGTTTCATCAGTTGGTTTTCTTCTCGGAACACTTAAAACAAGAGCAGTCTGATCTACAGTTGCTGCAGTAGCAGTTATACGATATCCAGCATCCCAGCGCCGATGAACACCTTCACTTGGATAAAGAAAATCTAGCTCCACAACCTAAAAAATGGAAATATTTTTGGCTAAGATTATCAGCATGGAAACACCAAACCAACGCAACGGAAAGGAAGATAATTTTGCGTAAGAAACCTGGTCTGAAAACCCAGCACCACGTGACATGACAACTGCCCATCTACTACCAGAAGTGGCCATGCAGGTAACATAAAAACCTTCTCTCCACTTTTTGTTTATCCACTTGAATGGAAAAGAATCACTCACTTTGTAAGATTGTTGCAGATACTGAGTGCCTGAGTTTAAATAATTCAAATCTCGAGTCATGTCCAGCAAATAAGAAAAATAAACAGCGGTAATAAAGCATTCATACCCAGACACTTACCTTTTGACATTACTACTAATGAACTCCCATTTGTAGCTCCTGCAACTGCACTGATGTAATAATTCTTTTCCCATTGCTCCATTATCCATTCCTAACAAGTAATCCAAAATACACATGAAAAAAATCAGAAAATTTAATATTGTCGTCATCAGATGCTTATCAATAATCCAACAATTGGGAAAATAGCCCTTAATTTTTACATACCTTGTGAAGAAAAGAAGGTGATAGGTCATAAACTTGTGCATTAAAGCCAGTGCCTGCATCCATTATTAGTGCCCACAGATTTTGAGAAGATGCTACAGAACTGATAAATAGGCCATCTTCTGTTCCTCTTTCAATGTGCTGGGCAAGCCTTGAATCCAACACATTGTAGTGATACCTTCAATATCAACAGAACAAAATCATGAAATTCACAATGAAGGTAGAGCAAAAAGAATATTACAAAAACTCTAACAAGTGGTTCAGAATATATATATATATATTACAGAAAAACCAAACAAATTAATAGGGTTGAAGTACACCCTGCTATAAGTCACACAAGCACAAATTCCACTAACCACTAGGCAATATTTTAATCAAGGCCATCTAAGGCAAACAGTTGCAATAATAGAGGAAAACCGCATACCTTTGCTTCATGGGTTTACGAGCATTATAAACACTAATCCATTGTGTAGCAGGCATTCCCATACGAACTTTCTTTCTTGGTTGTTCATCTTCCTCATCTTCAAAAGTCAACCGGCCTCTCTTATGACCAACCTGATAGATTAGCTTCATTTGCCAAACATAAAATTAGACATGCAGCCAAACTGTCTTTAGATGAAATTTTACGGCTTGGCTTAAGGAAAAAAATCAAAGAAAATCGTAAGTACCTTCTGTGCACCCTCCGTGTTGATAGGTCTGATATCTGGATTTGGTCCGACAATCCCATCAAAGAGGGATATACATTTGGCATAATTTGGTTCCTCGTCAAATTTCAAATTTAC